TGTGTTATAATCTAGGGTTGATTCGGGTGGGCTCTTGCGTTCTTCCACACAACTTAGTTAATTAGGTTTGTAATAACCTAATCCCCAGCTATTTCAGTCGCGTCAGGTAGAATGCCGGCTTTGAACGAGCTGCTTGCAAGAGGCATACTTTTTAACAAAAACGGTGATTACTTAAGTAGTAAAAGTGTTTTGTCATTGATTTTCAACGTTCTTGTATATTCAATGCACAAAATATTCCTTCTTCGGCAGAAAATTACGTCTTCTTCACAGTTTGTTTCGGTTTAGAAAAGTTTCCATATTGCCGAATAATTGTGAGCCCCATCGACCAGTACACTTGAATCAAGGTTTTCCAACTACAGGGTGTATACATGTATGTGTGTGTATACGTTCCTCTGCTCTATGGTATGAAGATGTCACATAGTTGTCATAAGACTCATTGAGGAAAGTTCACAGATAGTTAACGAGACTCACCTATCCCCTTCCGCCTTTGCCTTGGGCCTGATTTCTCGGGCCTTCGCAGCAGCTGTAGCAGCGAGTAGTATAGGCAGATATTATTATCGGCAAAGACAAGGAGGAAACTGGAACGGCCATTTCTGGCTTATTAGCCGTCGTTAGTCAGTCATACCCAGACCCAAGTGGTGGAGCACCCGAGCCTCGAACTCGCGACTTTTTTGATCAGACTCTAACGCCCTAACCATTGAGCCACGAGCTCGTTGTCCCGCCGGTTTAGGTCGGGAGATATTGATACTCATTGATGACCGTTGACCGACCGCTAATGGAACTCACTTGCCCTGCTCCGCCTATGCCTTGGACCTGATTTCTCGGGTCTTGACAGCAGCTGTAGCAGCGAGTAGTATAGACAGATGGTATTACCAAAAAAAAAAACAAGGGAGACTGGAATGGCCATTTCTGGCTTATTAGCCATCGTCAGCCAGTCATACCCAACTCCAAGTGGTGCACCACCCGACAGCAACCCTAGCAGCAAGTGCAGATCAAGTGGACAAAATCCGGCATTTGTATCCGGATTTTTTCAGTAGGATTTCATGATGAAATCCGCTTGGATTTGTTACTAGGCCCCTCTAGCACAGGAGGCTGTCACTTTTCTCCTTCGCTCACGAACCTAACATGACTCACCCTCTCACAAGTCAATAGTTCGTCTGTCTTGTCGCGCCAACCGATCTAGTGTGACAATCAAAATTTCTCACTGGTTTGACTTTCTTCTGACGTCGGTAAGGGCTATTGGTGAATTCAAGAGCGACGAAGAAATTATGATTGTCCTAGCAGACGAAGGACGGACTACCGTAATCATGGGCAATTCCAGCTGTTCGGAGTCTACTTGATCCACATCCCTCTAGTAGCAAATCCATGCGGATTCCATCATGGAATCCTACTGGAAATATCCGGATACATTTACCGGATTTATACCCGATCTGTCCACTTTGTGGCTCAATGGTGAGAGCGTCAGAATTCTGAAAGAAAAAGTCGTGATTTCGAGGCTAGGGTCATGCATCACTTGGGTCTGGGTATGACTGGCTGATGATGGCTAATAAGCCAGAAATGACCATTCCAATCTCTCTTGTCTTTGCCGGCAATAGCAGTTCTCATGACATGTTGCAGTTGACGTTGATCGTTTTCTATACTTTATAGGCAGCATAAATAGATTGACGGATACGATGTATTATGCCTGAACAGTTCCTGGTCGAAAAATATCTCACAGTTAAAAACTTTTCGAAAAAAAATAATATTCTTTCTTCAAGAATACCATTTGCAAAATATGTAATTTGCTACGAAGGCGGTACGAAAAAGAATATTTTTGCACTTTTTCTATAAAATATATTGGCTTTTTAAGGGCATTTAAAATTAATGAGAAACACGGATGCTACTTAAGTAGTCGTTTTTTACAAAGCATACTTTTTAGAGGCTGTCAGAAAGATGCTCGTTCAAAGCTGGCATCCTCACGCGACTGAAATACCTTGAGTTTGGGTCACAAACTACTCAGTATTACAACCCTGCTTGCGTACCTTGTTCGAACCGAAAACGCATTTCAGAAATTCGGCTGATGTTTCATGGGATAGGACGTCTAGTGTCGTCTGCATATAGAAACTTTCTGCGTCGTCTTTTAGGGTTGATTCGGAGTTTTTTTTACCTATGTGTAAAGTTAAAAAAATGACAGCCGCCTGCTCCTTTAAATGCTAAGAAAACTGATCAGCCGATCATCGAGGCTGAACAGAGCAACTCTCCGCGCGTTCGTTTCTCACCCTCTTTTCTCTCTATCTCATCCGCATCGACACTTCCTGACTTGCATCCCCTTCTTTTTCTTTTCCCTAGAATATGTCAAGTTCGTGGACATGCGTGGAAATGTTGTTCAAAACCAGCAGGGCATTGAGAAGATTCCTTTTGATGTCGCCGTGAACTCTGTGGGTAAGTGTGGTCTGTCTTGTTAAGACCTATCCCCCTTTGGGGATTTATTGTACCCCTCCTCTTCCCACCCGCTCCACCGGCCCTTGCTCAGGTAGTTTCATATCGTCTCCATGCGAGCAACCGCCTTTGGCCAGGGCAGCTGCAACGTCTACACCCTATTCCGCTATTCAACTTCATTAGTGCTAGTAGGAGTACTGGTAGTAGTAGCATTAGTAGTAGTAGTAACAGTTGCAGCTTCGGTGAAAGTGAGTGCGGGTAGGTAGTGTGGTAGTTCCCGCGCAAAGTTTACTGTCTCTTAAGACTAAGTTAGGCGGTGTTCGGGCCTTTATTAGACAGGGCGGCCAACGCCTGATCATGTTTGGTCTTCTTGACCGCGGGTGAAGGGGGAGAGTGTGATTGGCGCC